GGGCTCAGTGCTATCCCTCCTCTGCGTTCCTGGGGGCCAGCCATCATGACCCGCCATGCTACTGGCCCAAGTAAATACTTGCTAACCGGCTCTGTACACAGTGTGTAATCGATAAGGTCACAGAGAGAGGCTCCAGAAGGGAATGCCAACTGCACGTGGATGAGTTTTGGCAGGTGAAATAGAAATAGAGGCCTGCAGGGTCTGGTGAAGTCTGTGTAGAGCAAGATATTCACAAGGTGGGATTCAAAGGGAGGGAGGGGCGGTGGGGAAGGCAGACAGATGGATTTTCTTTTCCTTAACAACATGGTTAAATTAATTTATATGCCTCCTTTTGTCAAATCTCAGACTTGGGGTCATTTACAATGATGAGTTAGTAAATGATTAGTTAGTAAATGATCAGAAGGGTTTACACAATTATTGCAAGTGCGGAGCACTTGGCTTTGAGCTTCCTGGCAGCCGGGGCAAAACGGGACAAGCTATGCCTCTCAGCTTTAAGCGGCTTCCGGGAGACAGACAGATGTCCCAGATCTAAATCTTAAAGGGAATCTCTCAGGATTCCTTAGGAAGCTCACAGGATGAGGAATTAAAACATATCTGCAAAGGGAAAGGAAAAAGTGGCGAAGTTGGGGGGCGGGGTGGGGAGGGAGACGGCTACCAAGATAAGAGTCTCCAAGTCTGGTTTGTTTTCAAGAGGCTGCCTCTTCCGGGTGCTCAGAGCCCCTCTAGACCTCTGAAGTGTTTCGGGAACACAGAGAGTTCCTTGATATGACACACCCTCAGAGTGAGCAAGGTGAGGGCACCCGAGACCAGACCCTGGTCTGACTTGGGCTCTGCCCATGCCATGCTGCCTCTGGGCCAGCCCCCCTGTCAAGTGAGGCCCCCTTAGCCCCTTTCTCACTCCTTCCAGGCCCATCCCTCTTACCCCACTTCCCATGGGAGCTTCACCTCCAAGAGGGCTCCTTACACATCTGTGAGCCATTCCCTCTTCCCTTTCCTGCTCAAGCTCTGCACAGACCCATTTCCCACTGTGGTGCAGGGAATGACTGCTAAATGGTCCAGAAAGCTACGGGTGGTTGCAGCTGTTCTGATGGTCCAACCACGGTAAGATTTCAAAGCTGGAAGGGGTCTAGCAACTGTTTGGGGGAGACTAGAAGAGATTATTTTTTCTTTCTTTATTTTTTTTTTTAAGATTTTATTTATTTATTTGAGAGAGAGAGAGAGAGAGAGAAAGAGCACATGAGAGGGGGGAGGGTCAGAGGGAGAAGCAGACTCCCCGCCGAGCAGGGAGCCCGACGCGGGACTCGATCCAGGGACTCCAGGAACACGACCTGAGCCGAAGGCAGTCGCTCAACCAACTGAGCCACCCAGGCGCCCGGCGAGATTATTTTTTCTTTAAAAGATAACCTAGTAATACTAACAAACCCAAACGATAAACAATGCATACATTGTTACAAGTTGTTTATAACCCACGAAGATAGTTTTTTTGAGAAGAACTATATGCAACCTGAATTCCTGAGATACAAAACATTATAATCCTATTAGGGAGTTTCTTAGGACCCTGTAGTGGCACCTTCCTAAAAACACACCCGCCCTGGAGTGTTAATAAAGAGCCCCCAATCTGATGTGTTTTCAGTGTGAGATCGAGGCTCCCCATGCTGCCCCAGGGCCTCCCAACCCTCTCTGGACGCACTGGGTTTTGTATAACACATCAGTGTGCTGGGAGAGAGGAAAGGCAGGTGGCTGAAGAGCCCGAGGTGGGGCGTGCCTTTAGCACATGTCTGAGTCGCTCCCCTTACTGATGGTTGATATTTGACCGATGCTTCATTTGGGGGCCCAGTTTTCTTTGGGGCCACCAGCAAAACACACCGGTGGGAAGCTGACTGGTGTTTGGGGTATAGTCTATGGTTCTCACTCACTGGGGATTGGCAGCGGTGAGAATTATTCACTCCTGCATCCAAGTGCAAGGGGCTAGACTGAGGAGACCTCCCGGAGAGGCCATGCAGGTCAGTGCGGGGTGAAAGGATACATGCGTGTGGCGGCAGCTGGGGTGCCAGGCCAGAAGCCTTCCCGCCGCCCACCTCCCAACGTCCAGTTCCCTGACTCACGTGCCTTCTAGACACCAGTGACCTCGCACGAAGTTGTCTGATCCTGACCCTGCACCAGCCCTAAACCTGGCTCTCTGCTCACGTGTAATATAGACACAGTTGGCCAGAACAGAAGCCTTGATTTCTCTCCAAAATCTGTTCTTGACTCTCCCATTTAAGAAACAGCACTAGCAATCCCCTAGCTGCTTGAGCCAAGATGCTGGAAGACACACTCTCTAGTCCCTCTCCATTCTGTCGGCCCTTCTGAATAGTGGTTCTCAGACCTGGCCGAACACAGAGGACGCCTGGGAGCTTTAAAGCACTCCGATACCCAGGGCCCTACCCCAAACCAATCAGAGCAGAATCTCTGGGGGTGGGGCTCAGGTGTCCATACTTCTTCAGAGCTCCCTAAGGGATTCTAACGTGCAGCCAGGTTTGAGAATTAGTGGCTTAAAATACACTCCAAATCCAACAGCTTCTGTCCAGCTTCACTGCTCCCACTTTGGTCTGAGCCACCAACCATGTCGTGTGCAGACCACTGCCATCCCTCTAATCCTCCTGGGTCTCTGCTCCACCTCAAACCCCCGTTACAAGCACAAGACACTGTTTTTTTTAAAAAATCAGGTCGTGTCATGCCTCTCCGTTGGCTTCCCACTACATTGAGAGTAAAGAGCAAAGCTCTCATGAGGCCCTCAAGGCCCTGCCCGATCTGGCTTCCGCAGTCCTACCTGTGTCTTCCAGCTCCTCTTGCTCCCACTCACCACGCGGAGGTCACCCTGGTCTTAGTCCTGTTCCCCAGATGCGCCAAGTGCGTGCCCACCTCTGCGCCTCTGCACCTACTCTCTCCTCTGCCTGGAAGCCTCTGCCCTCAGGGGCTTCACCTGCCTGACTCCCAGCTCCATGTCCTTAGGTCTCAGCTCTGAATGGCACCGCTCACAGCCCTTCTCAGATCCCCTAGAGCTAAAGCAGGCCCCCTGTGCCCCAGAAAAATCACCACCACATCACCCCGATCACACTCTTCGATTATCTTTAAAATACTTATCACTGTTTGAAATCACCTTGTTCGTTCGCTCACGTCTTCACTGCCTGACCCCCTGCGCTAGGACGTGAGCTCCAAGGAGGCAGGGATGCTGGTCTGTCTTGCTCACAGCTGCCGCCATTGCTCACAAAGGCCCTCTCACGTAGGAGGCACTCAGTGGGCATGGCATTCACTTTGTCCCTCATCAGGGCCCCCCGGGCTCTTCCCAGGGCTCTTCCCCGGGCTCTTCCCCGGGCTGCCAGCATGACCCCTGTAAAATGACAACCGGGTCTCGCCACTCTCACTCAAAATCCTCAGGGGCTCTGGACCACCCCTCGTCATCCAACTGCCCCCCAAACCCTCCCTCCTCCTCAGGTCCCACCATCCCACGCAGCTCCCGGGAGCCTCGAGGGGCCACACGCCTGTGTGCCTGCTGCTCTCCTGGCCTGGCCCGCCGTCAGGGTCTTCCGGCCCCGCCACTTCCCCCACCAACAGACGCTGCTCTCGCAACAACTGGCCAGGGCGCCACCCAGCAGCCGTCCTCGTCGGCTAGGCTGGTTCACGCCCCCTCCCTCGTTTTTCCACAGCAACCCGGGCTTTCCTCTGCCACAGCCTTTGTCGCACGGGGCTGGCCTCACCTGTTTTCTCTAGACAGAGGGCACTCCGGTTGGAACCACATACAGGTCTTCCCCCTTCTTCTTGACGCTGGCGTTACGTCACTTGGCCTTTATGAAAGACCCACTTTAGTACCTTTCGGCCAACGCAAAGACATCCGAAGAGGATGTTCGCTTTTACAACATGCAAATTGCTTCTTTGCTTGATGCCGTTTGGCTTATGAAAGGTTTCACAGGAATGTTCTCCTTTTCAGATAGTGGGGGAAACCTGTACGCCAGGCCCTTCAGGGGCCGGCTGACTGGTGACCCCATAAATGGTGCCAGGACGTGGGGGAGAAGAGGTGCTATCTGGACTGGCTATCGACGTGTAATCGAGCTGGGAAAGCTGCTCTCCCTCGGGATGGATTAACAAGCCACCGCCTGAACCGGCAGGAAATGGAGCCCTTCGAGGGAATGAGCCCAAGACCCAGGGTCTCTATTTTGCTCTCCCTGGGGCTCCCAGAAGCAGAGTCTGGGTGGCCAATGCCATGGCCAGTAGTGGTGCTTTCCTTCTCTTAATTTCAACATACTCGTCCTACGCACTCAAACTATTAAGCCACAGGAGGTCTTTATCAAATCACGCACTCTCGCCTTTCCCACACGAGATGATGAACAGGAACGGAGGGTTTAATGCCAGGGTACGCGACATTCAATAGCCACCTGCACAGCTTGGCATATTTAGCTAAGTCATCAGGCAGAACACCACCGCTTTACCCACAGATATTCACCAAGAGGCACTTGCTGCCGCCTGAAACAGGCTTGTCCAGCTTTTCAGGAAAAGATGAGCCTCGCCCAAAGTGAAGGCCATTTCCGTGCAGGTTCCTGGAACTGGATACGGCTTTAATTTCAAAAGCACCTCGCTGCAGTCCTGTCTTCACTGGGAAGCCCCACCCTGACCCAAGCCCTCAGCATGCTTTCCACTCTGTGATCTGTCCCCAGTCTCCATGGTTATCGGACTGTGCCCTTCCAACGAACGAGAGGCTAGGTTTCTGCCAGGCCAAATCCCTCCCGCAGTAGGCTCCATTGACGCATACACCAGTGTACATACAGGTACATCCAACCAAGACAGAAAGGCTGTGGCACAGGTGGTGTCCCCTCGGGGGGCCCTGAGTTCACTTTCCCACCCCAGCCCTGGCCCTCCTGTTCTCCACACTCCCAAGGTCCAGGGGAACATGCGGGCTGTGGCCATGCCAGGGCCAGAGGAGGAGAGTGTGGGCTGGTTAAAACAGGCCCAGACATACTCACGGGGTCCGTCAGCATGGCCCGGCAATGGGACGCCAGGGCCAAGAAGGCCAGCAGGTTGAACACGATTCCGTTGATGACGCTGTACACGTAGTCTCGGGATGGAATGAGCATGACAAAGAGGACCACGAATTCCGCATAGAGGACCAGAAACCAGGTGACAATGGCACAGGCAATGCCACAGCCGTCGCGGATAAACCACATGGTTCCCACAGGACCGTGGTGGGGAGGTGGGACACACTTCTCTGGCTGGAGGTATTCTGGCTTCCGCTCAATGTCTCGGAAGTGGTGGGTGGGGATAAGCATCATAAGCTATTCTGTCCATACTGGCATCTGGAAGAGACAAGAAAGGACCCAGAAAATGGGTGGTGTCTTGTTATCAAGGATATTTGACAAAATTACCTTTCTAAAGTGAGCCATGAGGGATGTCTGGGTGGCTCAGTCGGTTAAGCATCTAGCTTTGGCTCAGGTCACGATCCCAGGGTCCTGGGGTCGAGCCCCACGTCGGGCTCCCTGCTCCGCAAGGAGTCTGCTTCTTCCTCCCCCCCTTCCCCCCAACTCGAGCTTGCTCTCCCTCTCTCAAATAAAGAAATAAAAAAATCTTAAAAAAAATAAAATAAAAAATAAAATGTGAGTGCTTGGGACACCTGGCTGGGTCAGTTGGTAGAGCATGTGATTCTTGATCTAGGGGTCATGAGTTTGAGTCCCAAGCTGGGGGTAGAGTTTACTTAAAGAAAAAAGAAAAGTAAGTTCTCTTCCTTCCTGCCTTCCGAGAGTTAACTTAGCTTTTGTGAAATAGGGCCACCTTGCCCAAAGCCTTCACATGACAGATATGCAAAGGGAGTCTTCCAAGGGCAAATGCCTCACCCAAGGTCGGCTGGAGCTGCAGCTGCACAAACAGGACACCAGTTCAGAAGTGAGGCTAGAACTCAGGTCTCTCTGTTTACGAGGGATCGATCTACTGGGAGGATGGTGTCAACGGATATGTTCTAGTTGTGACTTAAAAGACAAGACGGGACACCGAGTACCAAGCCCTCTGGGAAAACTCTCTTTAGCATGGACACTGCTGCCTCTATGCCAAGGACAAACCCAGAGGCTGGTGTTGAGGCTGTCTGGGGTTAACAGGGATGAGTAGGAGGAAAGGACCTGGTGACCTAGAACATCTTTGGACTCATTGTCCAACATTCTCCCGTTTGGGCCATAGGACTGAAAAACCCCGGATAGGGAAGGTTCTTGAAACCAACCAGGTTTTTCAGTCCTGTGGCCCAAACAGTTGATTTCCCGGGAATCAGAGACTCCCTGAGTTCTGCCCTCGCAGGTGATGGGGTCAAGTGGAGAATGCTGGACAATGAGTCCAAAGATGTTTCTGTACCACCGAGCTGTGAGGCTCTCTGTGAGCCTTTGTGTCCTCACCTGCGGAGATAACCCCCTTCCCGCCCCAGCACCCCCTCCCAGGGCTGGTGTGAGGTTCCAGGGAGCTGGAGGTGCTCCTGATGAACGCTGTAGGCCATAACAAGCCCACATACCACGGACCCCACACACATGGCATAGTCTCTCTAGGAAAGACATCCATCCCTTCCAAAACAAGTGCTGAGCAACACGCCCCTTCTTCCTAGCAGCTGCAGCCCGCGTCTCTGGAGACAGCAATGAAATAACTCAGGATCGATAATAAAGTCGATCTGTCCACAGCATGCCCGAAAGACGCAGCAAGTACACATTTCCTTCCTCTGATTCCTTATCTTACACGTGGCGGCCTGTTGCTCACCAGGCCGGTTTCTCAGTCAGCAACTGCGCCGGCACAGGCTAGCCCCAGATGGAGGCGCCACAGAGTGACCCCTGGAGCTGTCTACAGCACTGTGAGTGACATCTTCGGGCTTCTGAGAACTCCAGGCACTTCGCAGCGCAGGCAACCATTCACAAGCATGCTGGCTCTGCGTGTTTTTCTGGAGGCTGGGGCTCTACAGGACATGGGCAAACCTTCAGTGGTTGTGCTGGGCTTTCCTCACCCTTTGGCCTTCTTCCTCCCCAGCCCTCCTCCCCAACAAAGAGCCTCTGGACTGAATATGCTGTAGTCATGACGAGGAAGGACGTGTCCAGAAAGCTGAGCCGGCAGTCACTGCTACTCAAATTGACAGACATTCTCAAGTCAAAAGTTGCAGCGGCTAATAATGAAAGAATAAGGCCAGGGCCTCCCCTCCCCAGGACGGCAGAGAATTAGTGGCCGAAAGGCAGTTCGATGCGTACCATGTACTTATCCAAAGAAACACTTTGGACTCATTGTCCAACATTCTCCACTTGACCCCATCACCTGCGAGGGCAGAACTCAGGGAGTCTCTGATTCCTGGGAAATCAACTGTTTGGGCCACAGGACTCAACAAATAGGGTGACTATCACACGCTGGGTACACTGTGCTGGGAGCTGAGGGACAGGAAGTCATGACGTATGGAATAACCATCCCAAGTAGAGTAAAAGCAGTGGTTCCCCACAGGCCGTCAATCAGAATCTTCGAATAAAGCAACCTTGTGCTCTCCACGATGACAATGGCAATTGGTGCCGCCAGCGACAACCTAGAGGCATGAACAATGAGGACACCCTTCTGAGGCACCAAATGGAAGGGCAGCAGGAGCTTGCACACTGGACCCGGGCCCAGCAGATTCTAAAATTCTAAGCTCCGTTCAACCAAAAGCCAACAAATGAAAAACTGAAATCCCATGAAATCCCACGAGTCCAAAGCTGATCAAAGCTCACCACTTTGACAACTCCCACAGGCAAGCATTCTCTTGGTTTTTCCTGCTGCTGTACAGGTCTGTAGGTACCCAGGCTCTAAACCCATAACGTTTTACTGGACCACAGCCATGCCATTCGAAGACGTATTGTCTGTCTGCTTTTGCATAACAATGGCACAGCTGAGCAGTTGTGATGAGACCTAATGACCTGCGAGGCTAAAGCCTAAACTATTTACTCTCTAGCTTTTTTTTTTTTAAGATTTTAGTAATCTCTAAAATATTTAAGTAATCTCTGCACCCAACGTGGGGCTCGAACTCATGACCCCGAGATCAAGAGTCGCATGCTCCACTGACTGAGCCAGCCAGGCGCCCCTACGCTCTAGCTTTATACAGAAGTTTGCTGACCCATGGTTCGAGGCGGTTGTTACCCACCAGATAACTGAGATCTGTCTTGGCTCCAGCTTTCCCTGCAGAACAGCTCAGTGTGACAGAAATGGGTGGTTACAACTCACCCCACCCCACCCATGTCTGTGGCAGCAAAACCTCCTGTCATCTGCAGCCCGAGGGTCATCTCGCTGAAAGCTGTGTACTCCATCAAGCTGCTCTTCAATTAGCATAAAAGGTGTGGTTTTCTGAAATGGATGATCACTGAAAATAAATTTCAGAACAATGCTCCCTTGTAGGTATTTCCAGTGATTACATTACACTCATAGTATATTCAGACCAGTTGACTGTATTCGCTCGTCAATTACTCATTCTTGATCGTACACATGGCAACGACTTGACTAGAGTAATGTTGCGTATGTGTGGTTTTGCTGAGGAACAGACCCTTTCACATAAGTAAATTTCCCAGTAACTGTGGCTTGTTCCTGAGCAGATACACAGTTTAACCATTAGGATGGTTAAGGTGGAAATAAAAAAATAAAACACGGAAGTAAAATAAAAAACAGACCAAAAAAAAAAAAAAGATACTATACCCGCTCCTGTCTTAAGTACAATAACCATCCATTTCTTTGGAATGATTTAGTTATTACTGGGAACATCAATTACTGGAATGTATCAGGGAGTGATGTCCTCCGGGGTCATGGAGACTCACTGAGCTCTTGGCCTCACACCAACTGGCCTGTGCAGACCAGAATTCTAATTCCAACATCTCCTTTGTATGGTTCTTTGTCTCCCTCTTCCATTCCTGGCTACTGTCATTCCCGTGCCTATAGTTGCCAACCCCCCTGACAAATTCTCCATTTATGACCGCTAATTGGCTGTGGGCTGGAAAACAAATAAAACTAAAGCCGGTTTAGTTTTATTTGTTCGTAAAAGAAGGGTACTCATTCTCGGTAACAGGCCTTTAGGGAACACCTGCTATGCTCTCCCACCACACAGGTCCTGTGGGCTGGAAGCCCTGTCTTTTCATCAGCCCAGGGCCTGGCATGTAGTAGCCATTTACTGTGTGCGTTTGTTACACAAATGCTTGAGTACGATGCCAGAGCTCTGTGATCCCAGGCCCACCTCTGGAAGCCCTGTCTGCTGCCTTTCAGGTGTGTGGCCATATCCCAGACGGAGGAGGGTGCACCAAGTAGACTGTGAAGTAAGTGGACTGTGACTCTTTTTTTTTTTTCAAGATTTTATTTATTTGAAAGAGAGCGAATGAGAGATAGAGAGCACGAGAGGGAAGAGGGTCAGAGGGAGAAGCAGACTCCCTGCTGAGCAGGGAGCCCGATGTGGGACTCGATCCCGGGACTCCAGGATCATGACCTGAGCCGAAGGCAGTCGCTTAACCAACTGAGCCACCCAGGCGCCCTGGACTGTGATTCTTATTTAAGTAACCAGAACGTTCCATCCTTAAACAATGTGGGAACCAAAGAGTGTACAGAGGAGCTCTGTTTTCCCCTCACTGGTGAGGGAGAACCTGTGATCTGGGCCAGCACCCAGACAAGGGCACACTTGGCAGACTCAGACACCAAGTACTGAACTCAAGTTCACATTCCAACCCACACTTCAGTGTTTCAAAATATCCTGCTCAAAACCAATCAAAGCACATGGCAGTGAAGAGTTTATTTAACCCCAAGGACCCTCAAGAGCAATGGAAGTAGCTTTCCAATAAGGATCTGTTCCTTAGTCAACTGGAAATCTTAGAAATACGGGGAAAACTTCACCTTGAACAAATTGTGCACCTTCCCTTCATTCTGCCCCTAATGACCACAGCAGAAGAGGCAAATGTTGACCTTTTCTATTTTGAATTAGGGAAACTCCAATCCTTGGGGTTGAGGAGAGGCTCTTTGCCCATGACCGACTGCCCACATGAGTCCTTGCTTGTGACCGTTGGGCAGACTGTTTGCTCAGGCCTCTGGGTTGTGCACACAAGGAGGCTGGTGGGTCCGGGGACCTTTAATCCTGCCCACCAGCTCACCCCTCAGGAGGACGGCCTCCTCCAGCCCCCCCCCCCCCACCCCTTTCCATCCCATTCCTTTGCCCTGTTGACCCTCTAAATTCTCCTGTCTTCAGTTCAGTTCAATTCAAAAACATATTCCCGGAGCAGCCACTAAATGTAAGCAACTGTGCGGGGGCTCATACAAGGGATGATGAGGACCATAATGTGTGTGTGCT